GCCTCTCTTATTTTAAATCCATTTGCATACAGCAATGTAGAGTTATACAAGATTTTATAAAATCAAAGAAAAGCAATCAAGTTCCTATCAACATTTACTAAGCAGCAACTTGTCATAACAAGATTATATTTTATATACAGGGAAAAGCATCTCCAGAATGCTGCTTGAAAAATGGAAAGTCAAATGAACAATAACTTGAACATAGCAGAGGAAAGTCAGAAAAATCAGATACCATCCCTATACTTAAGGAACTCAGGTTCATTCATTCATTCAGCAAATATTTATCGAACATTTACTCTGTGCCAGGCCTATTCTGGCAACTGTGATTACAGCAATAAAATCTCTCCCTCATGAGGCATATCTCTTGGGGGAATAGTGAATAAATAATCTATAAAATTGAAAATATATGGGAGCGATTAATGCAAAAGAGAAAAAAATAAAGCAAAGAATGAGGTTAGTGTGTGTTTCAATGTGTTGAGATGGGGGTGGTGAGAGGCCATGGAAGGCCTCCTGGAGAAGATGTGTTTTATACAGCGACCTCAAGGAAGCATGGGAGTGTGTCACGGCAGAGACTATTGCAGAAAGAGAGAGATGGGAGAGGAAAGGTTCCAGTGCAACAATGTGCCAGTGTGTGCCCAGGAGCAATTAGGAGGCCAGTGTGGCCAGAGCAATGCATAAGAAAGAGAGAGTAAGAGGAGATGGGGTCAGAGAGAGGTGAGGGAGTGAGCTGGGATACAGGCAGGTCCTGTGGGCTGGCTGCAGGAAATAAGACTGTCACTTTCACTCCGCCAGACATCGGAAGCCAGTAGAACACTTAAGTGACAAGGCGGTGCATTCTGGCTTTTTTTTTTCTTTTCTTTTTTTTAACAGGTTCCCTCTAGCAGCTGGGTGGAGCTGAAAGGAGCATACTTAGAAGTAGAGAAGAAACTTCCATTAGTAAAATTGTAAGGTGGGAGTTTTTATGTCTTTGAAAAACATTTTGTCACCTCCTTTGCTTTACAATGATCTCCTCATGATTAAGGACAAATTCCTGAGTGTGTGTGTGCATGCGCACATGTGTGTGTTTGTATGTGTGTGTGCATAAGCGTGTGCCTGTGTGTGGAAGCCAGAGCTTCCTACGGAGCCCCCTGTTCAGAATAGAGCCATGGTTTAACAGCTCTTACTCCTTCCCTTCTCCCGCCTGTTTCTTTTCTATATTCTTTTCAAATGCCAACTAGCCTCTGCTTCTTTTTAGTATTTCATCCTTTTCTGTTGAACTGTTTTATCTATTTTCCATTTTTTCTGCTACTCTTCTTCCACTTTCATTCCCAAAATAAGAAGTGGTAGATACAAAGCAACAGGAAGAGGCAGAGGGAGATGCACAATCAATCTCAGTTTATTCACATATCTAATGCTTTCTCATTAAGAATTCCTGTAAAATATAATTATTCTTTTCAGACCATAAAAGTAATCTATGCCTATTTTTGAAAATTCAAAATATACCGAAAGTATAAAGATGAAGGACCAACGCAACTATAATATGACAAATACTAAATTACTTCCTGGGGGGAAGGTGCTGTTCAGGCTTTTTTTTATCGCGACAAATGTTATTGATTTCAAAGATACAATGAATTCAGGATAATCGATATTTATCTTCTATGTTTAGTATAAATATTTCCTCAGTTTATTAATTTGTCTTTTATATTTTACTACTTTCGAACATATTTTTAGTGAATTCTATTCCTTTGCAATATCTTTCATAATTTATTATTTTTAGGGGAAGTGTTGAGAATGTTTTCATTCTAAAATACATCTGAAATATAAAATTCCAATAAAATGTGTTGAATCTAATTATTCCATCAGTATAAATAAGAAAAAATGGGACAAGTGAAGCAACTATGAGTGCAGGAACCCAAGACTGGACTGAAGACAATTTAGATTTGAACGTAAGGGTAATGGCATTTCAGTACCGTTAACTCAGCAGTTAGCACCCACCATTCTTTCTACCCTCTCCTTCCTGAATTGTCTGTCAAAACAAATCAATTCTCTGCCATTACTGCAGGTGTAAACAGACCCAATGGTAACCCTCTGGATACAAAGCCCAAGAGAAAGTTTATCAATCTTACTCCAGGGTGGAAGCCAGCACATGGGTTACAATCTGTGTAATGTCATCTCCTATGATCCTAACTTCAAGAAGCTTAGAGTGGGTACCACCTGTAACCTGGAAATGCTTCTCTTTGCCCCTGTAGTGAGTTAATTCTCTAAGTTCTCAATGTGCAAAACTAAATTATCAGTGTGGCAGAATGCCTTTAAAAAAGAGAAAACTACTCTGGATTGTCTAAAAACTAAGATGCCACAGAAAAATGTAGAACCCTATCCCCAGAAACTTAGGAAATAGGGAGAATGAGGATCCTTAATTTATTATATGCTACTACCAATTAATAAAATAAAAACAAACACCCCAATATGGAGACATATTTTAGAATGTACCCTAAGTGACTCTTTCTGATCTCTTTGTTGAGGCACAGAAATAACTAAAGGAAATGCTAGAACATCAGAGTACATGATAGGTTAAGGAAGGCATGTCACTGTCACATTCATGTTCACAGAGAAGTCTACATCTAAATGTAAATATAATATAAATATATATATATATAAAACCAAGTCAAAGAAAAGCAAAGGTTTCATTAAACACGATATCAAAAACTGATCGGAAGACACTGGACACAAACTGGTGGCAGTTAAGTTGACAGTCTATTTTAGTATGTCCTTCCATAATCAATCAGGCTACTTTCTTCTCAAGGGGGTTTTCCAGTGCAGTGACCTTAGTAAAAGTGTCTGATGGGGGGATGTATGGGCTTTAGTCATCAATTTCAACATTTAATTCACATTCAGGTCTTCTTCCATTTCAACATATAGGCATGCAACTGGCTGTCCTGTTGCTTCTTGCTCAGCACAGCGGGACTAGGGCATCTCTCCCACTTCCATGGCCTTAGCATCTGTCCTATAACCCCCCATTCCCAACCTATCAACTCTCACCTCTACCCTAATTCTTCCACACCCTATAGCTCCATGCTCTAGGTCTCCTCTCCCAGGGTGTCTACAACCTCAGACACCACTTCTTCTGCAGCTCTTTCAGGGAGCTAGCGCTTGACCACCGCAGAGTGATGTTCATCCCTAGGCAAGGTTCTCATGACGTGTCCCTTATACAGTCCTCCTTTTAGGAAAATGAGAAGGCCTCTCCTTCCAATAGTTCCCCTGGCCAGGCCTCCTACAGGTCAGAGGTGGACTTACTCTTCCTGGCCATGCTCTAATCCAGGTACTGTTTTAAGCTCCACCAAAGTTCTAGTGCTGCCTTGAGAATCCCCTATTCTGGCACCAGATCTCTATTTTTGCTGCATGAAAGGGAAATGTCACTGATATCAGTTTTTTGTTATTCATTATATTAATAAAGTGTTCATTTACAGATATCTTGGAGGTGCATTTTAGCACAACTTCCAGCACCATCGGGGTAGCCATCTTCACGTCCCAGGAAACAAAGGAGGACGCAAGTGTTGTGCCTGTGGTGGACCAAAGACCAGCTGAACCTCAGTTTGGGTTAACTTGGTGGGTATTTAGTTAAATGCTTTGTGGGAAGGTGGCCAGGTTAGCTGGTTGGGTGGCTATTGTTCCATTTAGTTATATGGTCAGCCCGCTTACTCAGCCTGCCCTTTCCCCGAGTCTGTGCCCTGCAGCTGTCATCATCAACTCATGTTCAATGTTCTCCCTCAATTATTTTAAGCTTAGATAGTTTTTTTCCCCAATCCCAAATTTTTCTATGATATTCAAAATTTAGTTATTTTAGTGCAGTTTTTCAGTACTAGGGAAATGAGCATCCCATTTATAGATCATTATTTTGTTTACATATGTAACTCAAATTATTCAACTTTATAAAGATCATGGTTGAAGAGGGAGAAAGAGAGGGAAAGTGAGAAATAAATTCCTTACAATGGCTAAGGATAAAGCACTGTGTGTGGTGTGTGTGTGTAAGAGAGAGAACACGTGTAGTGTGCATTCATGTTTATCTTGTACATCGCTATCTGAGGAGGCATCTCAATTTTGAGGAAATTACATGGAAATGGGAATTAGAGATCTGTGTTCTTCCTAGTCCTGCTTTTGTCACTAACTATCTGTGAAAGCTTGGGCAAACCACATCACGTGCGTCTCAGTTTCTGCGTCTGCATCTGCCTTCTGAACTTGCATAATAATGTTGTGGTGCTCAGATTGTATAGTATACATCAAAGCAGTACCAGTATGAAGTTTCTATAAGTTTCCAACAAATATAAAGCTATATCATTTGTGTTCTCATTTGCATGTGTTTAAGCCCCATTTGGGCCCCATCCCATTGGCTTTAGTCCTGCCTTGTCCCTGCACTTTTGTAAGAGAGTGGTGCTTTCAGCCTCTTTGTAAACACTTCAGGCAAATAATTGCCCTGTCATTTGACCCATCATCTCAAGACCCTACTCTCTTAGACTTCCAAGGAGACAAACAGTGTGTAAAGTTTTTGCTGGTGTGTGATACAGGTCAACTGGCTCCCCCTTTACCTCCACCTTTTATTTGTAACAGAGGCTATTTGGTCCTAAACTTACTGTCTGAACAAAAGTAAACACACTGGTGGCATAAATTTAGGTCATATATCTACTCAAAAGCCAAAATGGGATTCACGGGAGAGATGGATTTGTGTATCTGAGGAACTGTTATTCTTTTCAGGTCACAAGATCCTACTTCTATGCAAAATATGCAGTAAGCAAGACATATCCTGGAGAGTATGTGTATATCAATAACACTAATAACAACAAATACGGAATGTGCCTTTTCAATTAATTATGCACTCTTAAAGCAAATGATATTGATTTTGGCTCAGATTTCATAATAAATGGAGACCACATAAATAAAATTGTGTTTTATATATATATATATATATACAAACACACACACACACACACACACACACACACACACACACACACGTAGATACTTACTGTATTGACAATTTCTTCCCATAAATTCACCTGGGCACTCACAGGAATAGTTAGCAACAAGGTCTGTACATATTCCACCATTTTTGCAAGGATCAGCTTCACATTCATTTATGTCTGAGGAAAGCAAAAAAGAGAGGAAGAGAATTATTGTTAAAAATGATTAGATATTGGAAGATTTTAGGGATCCTAAATAAAACATCTAAGTAATGCTATTTCTTTGTGTACATGTGTATGTACGCGTGTGTGTTTAGTCAGTAATACAAATGCTGATTAAAACCAATAATTTATTAACAATCAAATTTTAATCAATTTCTGATGGAATTTAGAATCCAGATGAAAGACCAATAGAACTAAACCACTCTCCTATTCTGAAAATAGATATGAATAGTTTGGGGAAATATTCAGTATATCCTTAGAATTAAATCAAACAAATTAACCCTGATACAAAGATGAATTGGTATCACTTAAAAGATCTAGAAACCTCCCCTGTAGCAACAACTGCCAATTAACATTGTCTCATTTTATCTTAATTCATTAAAATTCTAACTGACAGAGATGTTTTAGTTTCTCAATAGTTCACCTTTGATGAATATGTTGAGAAGCAAATTAGAGTTAATAGCTAAAGCTCGTTACATGCAAAGTATAATAAATGTAAATGATGATCACTTCCTAATCTTATTCAAGGGTTTCTAAAGTTAGGATGACTAAAGGGACTTACTTTTGATATACTATTATTATGTCTGATGCAAAATAACATGAAATATAAAACATTTAGCAAATTATATTAATTTCATTTCTAATTTTGGACAACATTGAAAATAAGTAAGATTTGAACACAAAAAGAGATAATGACTTCATGTTAAGTGAAATAAACCAGGCACAGAAAGACAAACACCACATGTTCTCATATGTGGGAGTTAAAAAAACTTGATCTCATGGACACAGAAAATAGAATGGTAGATACCAGAGACTGAAAAGAGGGAGTGGAAGGTCAGGAATGAAGAGAAGTTGGTCAATGGATACAAACATGCAGTTAGATAGAATAAATAAGTTCTAATATTTGATAGAAGAATAGAGTGTATTTAGCAACAATATTTTGCATATTTAAAAGTAATTAGAAGAGAAGACTTTATACCAACATATGCAAATGATAACTATAGTACCGTAGTATAGTTTGAAGTCTGGTAATGTGATGCCTCCAGATTTGGTTTTTTTTTTGCTTAAAATTGCTTTGACTATTCAGGCTCTTTTCTGGTTCCAAATAAAGCGTAGAATCATTTTTTCTAGATCTGTGAAATGTGGCTTTGGTATTTTGATGGGAATTGAACTGAATCTTTGAATCAGTTTGGGTCGTATGCACATTTTAACAATGTTAATGCTACTGATCCATGAGCGTGATATGTTTTTCCATTTGTTTCTGTCATCTTGATTTCTTTACTCAGTGTTTCACAGTTCTCTTTGTAGAGACCTTTTGCCTTCTTCATCAAGTATATTCCTAGGTATTTCATTTTCTTTGTAGCTATTGTGAATGATATTGAATCTTTGATCTGACTCTCGGCTTGACTGTCATTGGTATATAGAAATGCTACTGATTTGTGTACATTGATTTTTGTAACCTTGGACTGCTGAATTTACTTATCAATTCCAGAAGTCTTTTGGTGGAATCTTTGGGCTATTCTAGATATAACATCATAACATCAATGAAAAGCAATAATTTGATCTCCTCTTTTCCAATTTGGATATCGTTTATTTCTTTATTTTGCCTGATTGTTCTGTCTATGAATTCCAGCACTACGTTTAATAGAAGTGGTGATGGGGGCACCCTTGTCTTGTTCCAGTTCTTAAGGGGAATGCTTTCAATTTTTCACCATTCACTATGATGTTGGGTGGGTTTGTCATACTTGGCTTTTGTAATTTTGAGGTATATTCCTTCTATGCCTAGTTTATTGAGGGTTTTTATCATGAAACGGTGCTGGATTTTGTCAAAACAGCATGGTATTGGCACAAAAATAGAGATATAAACCAATGAAACAGAACAGAGAACCCAGATATAAAACCATCTGCATGCAGCCAACTCATCTTTAACAAAGCAGATAACAATATACACTGGGGAAAAGAAGCCCCATTCAATAAATGGTGCTTGGAAAATTGGATAGCCACATGTAGGGCAATGAAATATGATCCATGTCTCTCACCACTCACAAAAATTAATTCAAGATGGATAAAAGACTTAAATGTAAGGCATGAAACCATAAGAATTCTAGAAGAAAATGTTGGAAAAAAACCTCTTCTAGATATTGGCCTAGGCAAAGAATTTATGAAGAAGACCCCAATGGCAATTACAACAACAACAAAAATAAGTAAATGGGACCTGATTAAATTAAAAGCTTCCACACAACTAAGGAAATAATCAACAGAGCAAATAGACAACCTACAGAATGGGTGAAATTATTCACAAACTATATATCTCAAAAAGGGCTAATATCCAGAATCTACAAAGAACCGAAACAAATCAGCAAGGAAAAAGCAACCCCATTAAAATGTGGGCAAAACCATGAACAGAAGCTTTTCAAAAGAAGATAGAAAAATGATCATTAAACATATGAAAAAAATGCTCAACATCACTCATAATCAGGGAAACGCAAATTATTAATAAAACCACAATGAGATATCACTTTACCTCTGTTAGAAAGGCTTTTATTAAAAAGTCCAAAAAGAATAGATGCTGACATGGATGCCGAGTGAGAGCAACACTTGTACGTTGTTGATGGGACTGCAAATTAGTATAACTTCTATGGAAAACGGTATGGAGATTCCTCAAAGAACTTAAAGTAGACCTACCACTCAAGCCATCAATCCCACTATTGGCTATCTACCCACAGGAAAAGAATTCGTTTTATCCCAAAGACACCTGCACTTGAATGTTTATTGCAGCACAATTCACAATTGCAAAAATGTGGAATCAACACAAGTGCCCATCAATCCATGAGTGGATTAACAAAATGTGTTATATATATATCGTGGAGTACTACTCAGCCATAAAAAAGATGAATTAATACATTTGACAACAATTTGGATGGAACTGGATATCATTCTGCTAAGTGAAGTATCTGAAGAATGGAAAAACAAACACCACATATACTTGCTATTAAATTGGAACTAACCGATGAGCACACATGTGCATAGAGGGAAGTAAAACTCAGTGGAAATCAAGCAGGAGCGTAGGAGGAGGAAGGGATGTGTAAAACCTACCTAACAGGTACAATGAACACTAGTTGGGTGATGGGCACACTTATAGCTGTGACTCCAGCGTTACAAAAAGTGATCCATGTAACCAAAAACATTTGTACCTCCTTAATATTTGGAAAAAAAAAAAAGAAATGATAAATACTCAAAGTGATAGACACACCCCCCAAAATAAATAAACAGTTCATCAAGTTATGCCTAAAAAAAAAGAAAAGAAGAGAAGAAGTAATGACTAATTCAATGAAGTATCCATCACTGGTATTTACAAAGCATTCCCTCTAAGCCTAGCACCATGCTACGTTTCTGGGAGGTAATACAGTAGTTGGAGACCACACACCGCTCCTTTTCTTTCTTCTCCTATCATCTACTCCAGTTGAACTTCCTATCTGCTCTTATTTCTACAACTCTGTTGTTGTTTTAACCATTCTACACACCTAAATGGCATTACTTGGAAATTGTTTAAGTGCCTTTTACCCATTCACCTCATCAGACAGTGAACTTCACCAATGCAGCTCCAGACTGCCCTGTTCTTTTTATGCCTGCAAATATCACACTCACTCTGGAAAAACACTGATGTCCAATAAATATTTCTTGATAAACTTTTTATTAATACCAAAAGAATAGAAAGAGTGGAGTGCACAAACTAAACAAAGCAAAATAAAAAAAAAATTTTATTTCAGATTTGTAATATATCTTCTGGTACACAATAACATATCAAAATGTATTACCGAAGTCCTGGGTTACCACAGTTTCTTAAAGCAGTGTGATCATTAATTTACCCTCTAAAGACAAAACAAGGAAAAAAATGCTGGAAAACTCTCTATTTTATCCTTTTTTTCAACTTTTTTCTTCTAAACAGTTTCCCCTTCTGAAAGCAGAGCTGGTCACCCTCTCATTCTTAAATTCACTGTAGAAAGTTTGGACTAACTTTCCTTAGGTGATGTCTTTCTCTGACAAGGTTTCTGGTTACCTTGCACAGCTTGAAAGTAAAGACAATTTATACTGTGTTCAAAAAGAATCTAAATAATTTGATGATTTTATAACATTCATAATAGGATAAAATCAGGATCTGTTGACCCCTAAAAAGAGCTCTGTACTATAAAATATGATAGATTCCCAAATATTTGATATTGAAACTCTAAAGAAGAATGGAAGAAAAGAGTGAATGAACAGAAGTAATTTCTTCACTATTTTTATACAATGAAATACTGCTTTTATAAAAATTTCACTTGGTCTTTATTTATATTGAACTGACATGCAAAACATTTTTATTAAATTTTGTAATTGGTATAAAATCTCTGTTATATTTATTCTGTTGTCTATTCAATGTAAGACAATAATGTTTGGCTACTTTGGAACATGCCCAATATGTCTTTACCTGTATCATACCTACTACAATTTGTTTTAGATGAGAACATGTCAATGGCTAAGTTAAATCATCATTTCTTAGAAAAAAAAATTGTCATTTTTTTAAAGTTGGATATAAACAGTTATTCTCTTATATACTTATTGAGAAAAAACTGAGTACTCATGTCTGAAGCAAACTATAATTTGATTTTTGATGTAGAAGAAAGGTTTAATTAGAATTAACAAGGTCTAGATAGAGATGGTTGTGTATTTCCAAGTAGGGAACCAGAACAAACCATAATGTTGAGAAGTTCATGGTATGATGTTGTGTTTATGTACAACAGTAGCCCACTTTGGAGCACAGAGTGTGAAGAAGAGTACTGGGATTCCAAGTTTGAGGATGTAGATGGGGACCAGATTATGATGAACCCTTAGTGCCAGCCGAGGGAACTGGATTTTATCTTCTGGCACTGACAACTTGGAGCAGGATGGAAGGGTATTTTCTTCACCCTTCTACTTTA